AACAAACTGAAAGTATCATATGTATTTGTGACTTTAAATCCAGACCAGCTTTTACTAATATTACCACTACAATCACCACCACTAATAATGATATGTATATTATGCTTTTCTAAGACTTAATTCTTATAAATGTGTACTATAATTGTTTCCATTTTATAAAAGAGAAAACTAAGGATTTAAAATATAACCAAATAGCTTAGGGTCAACTTGCTAATAAATAGCAGAACCACCGTTTGAAAATTGGAAACCTGAGGCATAGTCACCAGTATCCAATATTGTATATTCCTGAAAGCTGGATTCTCTGAACATAGTGTCTTTGTTAAAATTTATTTTTATTGTTAAAAGTATTACAGATGTCCCCTTCATTCCAAATTAATGTGAAAATGTACAGGGAGAATTCTGGGAGTGTTATTACAACACTTGGGAACATTGAAGAATTGTAAGAAAAGGAAGCATTCCTAAGACATCATGGGATTACTAAACCAGGGCTGATATTTATCTCCAATCCTTCAATTGATAATCCATAGTATAGTGACCTGAATATAAAAGCTACATATAATCACATTTGAATAATTATTAATAGATGAAGAAACATTACATATTTAAAATTATCTGTTCAGTGAACTGTTTTCATGGAGTTATGGTAATTATGATAGATCTTTGTAATGCAAAGATCTTTCAAGATTCATTTGCCTGATTTCAAGGACTAAGCAACTTCTAATAAACCAAGGATGCATTACACATGCTTAACTAAATATGTCAGTAAACACAGCTTTGTCTCTGACTGCTCTGGATCTTAAAACTTGAGGTTCACTTCAGCTCTTACATTCCATAAGATAGCAGGATGTAATGAGAGCATATTAAGCTATGAATTTGAATATCCTTGACTTATTTTGGGAGTCTGGGTTCTTTAACTCCTCAATCCCCAAGATTCCTCATTTGTAAAAAGAGGATACTGTGAGAAAAGTACATGGCACATGTTTAATTTATTTTCTTTAGAAAAATCATTTCTAATTTGAGGGAAGAACTTTCTATATGTAAATTTCCATGAAATATAAACACTAAGAAAAATATCTTGTGTGTGTGGGAATATAGGTATGTCTGTGTATATGTATTAAAGTCTAGAGAGCTTTTAAATGTAATTGTATTATTCAGTTTATCATCAATTTTAATTGTTTCTTTCCTTTTAAAGTTGTTTTTAGTGTAATTTATTTATAATCAAAGGAACAAAACTAAATAATCCAACTGGAAATTTAAAACACATAATTTTGCTAAACTGGTAAGAGAAAAGTTGAGAAGCCAAACAGAATAGCAATGTAATTCAAAAATTAGCAATAGCAGGTGTCTGCTGCCTGCTACTGTGCCTGGAGCTGGAGACAAAGACAGGAGTTGTATTTCCAGAATCTAAAAGCTATAGTTGGTTATACAGTGGGATCTAGAACTATGATGGAGGTTACCAAGATGAAGAGAGATGAGACCATGATGGGAGTTGTAACCAAAAAGAGAATTAGCCGACAGTGCCAGGAAACACTGCCTTGAAACAGAGAGGAAGAAGTAAAAAATTGAGGTTTTTCTCATCCACCATGCACTCTTCCTGTGGTACCTTCAATTGGCTGGATTCATCAAGAAAACAGAAATCAATGGGGCCTAAAAAATATGGTTTGTATTTTAAAAAAAGGAAAAAATGATTATAAGTAAAATAAGTAATCAATACACAGTTTTATGATTATTTTGAGTTTTTAAAATATTATATTTGATATTCCTGGTTATGAAGATGCTCCATGTTTACTGTTTTATCATCCACATTTATATCTGTAACCCATCTGGAACTATTTAAGATGCAATTTCCCCCCACATGATATTCAAGTAAAAAGTATTATTTATTAAAAGTTCATTCTTTCCTCTCTCCTCTGTAGTCTCATGGTATAAATCAAGTGACTCTGAACATGTAGGTTTACTTCTAAACTTGCACTGATACCATACTATTCTAATTACCATGGCTATATATCAGGTCTCAGTATTGAGTAGAATAAGTTCTCTAACTTCGTTCTTTTCAAAATTATCTTGTCTTTTTCTGGTTCTGCATTTCCATACACATTTCAGAATTAAATTGGCAATTTAAGGAACGAGGGGAAGCCTGCTGAAATTTTGACTAATTTATTTGATCTGTAAATCAATGTAGAGAAAATAACCAATATTTGCAGCTCATCCAGTGGTGCTCAGTGGTTGAGTGCCGACCTATGAACCAGGAGGTCATGGTTCCATTCCTGTTTGGGGCACATGCCTAGGTTGCCGGCTTGATCCCCGATAGACGGTGTGTAGGAGACAACTGATCCATGATTCCCATCATTGATGTTTCTATCTGTCTGTCCCTCTCTGAAATCAATAAAAAAATATAATAAAATTGTTTAAAGAGTATCATTTAAAATTGTTAATTTGTTTTTATGTACAATAATATAATTTACATTTTAGTATTAAATTTGTTTAGGGATCTTGCTAAATTGATATATTTATTCTAGTAGATTACAGATTTAAACATTTCTAGATATGCAATCATATGGTGTGTGAATAATGAGAGCTTTCTTTCTTTTCACTTTTTATTCTATTTGTCACTCTTAGATTATAGTGCTTGTGAAGTATAATGTATAAAAATGTTGTTAAAGTGACATTTTAAATTTGTTTCTGAACTTGGAGAAAAGTATGTAATATTCTACTGTAAAATATAATGTTTGATGTAAAAAAAAATCATCAGTTTAAAAATGTTCTCTCAATACCAAAACTAGACAAAGACATTACAAGAAAAGAAAACTACAAACCAATATTGCTCATAAACACAGATGCAAAACTCAACAAAATATTAACATATCAAATCTAACACTGTATATAATATTATGCATTATGCCCAAGAGATTTATCCCAGGTATGCAAGATGGCTAAACATTCAAAAATCAATTAATGTGATCCATCACATCAACAAGCTCAAAAAAGAAAAATGACTTGATCATATCAATATAAACAGAAAAATATCTTACAAAAATCCAGCATTTATGATTTAAAAATAAATATCAGTAAACTAGGAATAGAGGAGAACTTTCTCAACTTGATTAAAAATCTATAAAATTTCTACAGCTAACATCATAATGGTAAGAAACTTGAAGCTTGCCCATTAAGATAAACTACAAGGCAAGGATGTCCCTCTTATCACCCCCTTTCAACATCACACTGGAAATTCTAATGCAACAAGACAAGAGAAGGAAATAAAAAGTATACGGGTTGGGAAGGCATACATTAAACTATCACTGTTCACAGATGACATGATCATCTGAAAGGATCCTCCTGTAACCCCCCTTCCAGCCAAAAACCTTCATGGAACTAGTAGGCAAATATAGCAAGGTTGTACGAGCTAAATATACAAAAACAACCACTTTCCTACATACTAATAATAAACATGTGAAAACTGAAAGTAAAAACATAATACCATTTACCCCAAACATGTACTACTAAGGTATAAATCTAAAAAAAAATGTATATTAGAAAAAGTACAAAACTCTGATGAATGAAATTAAAGAACTAAATAAATTACATGCTCATGGATAGGAAGATTCAATATTGTCAAGATGTCAGTTGTTCCCAACTTATTCTATAGATTTTAATTCAATCCCATCAAAAACCCAGGAAGTTACTTTGTAGATATCCACAAACTGATTCTAAATTTTGTTTGGAGAACAAAGTTAGAGGACTGCCTCAACCTGATGTCAAGACTTACTATAAGGCTACACTAACCAAGACAGTGGGGATGCTGGCAAAAGAATAGACAAGCAGATCAATGGAATAGAATAAAGAACCCATAAATAGATCCACATAAATATAGCCATGCAATCTTTGATAAAGGAGAAAAGGCAATATAATTGAGCAATGATAGTCTTTTTAACAAATGGTGATGGAATAGTTAGACATCCACATGCAAAAACAACCCAAACAAATCTACACAGTTTCTACTCTTGCCAACAATTAATTCAAAATGGACCACAGATCTAAACGCAAAATACTCCTCTAGGATAACATAAAAGAAAGCACAAATGACCTTGGGAATGGTGTTGGCATTTTAGATACTTGAACACCAAAGACATAATCTATTAAAGAAATAATTAATAAATTAAAATTTATTAAAAAAAAGACACTGCTCTATGGAAAAAACAATGTGAAGAAAATGAGAAGATAAGCCAGAGACTAGAAGAAAATATTTGCAAAAGAGACATTTAATGAAAGACTGTTATTCAAAATATTCAAAGGACACTTAAAACTCAACAATAGGCAAATAATCTGATTAAGTAATGGGCAAAAGACCTTAACAGACCCCTCACCAAAGAAGATATGCAGATGGGAAAAATGAGCATACAAAAATATGTTTTAAATTATATGGCATGCAAATGAAAACGAGATTCCATCGCACACTTATTAGAAGGGCCAAAAACTGAACACTGACAAACTAAATGATGAAGAGGACAGGGATCAACAGGAGCTCTCATTCATTGCTGGCGGGAATGCAAATGGTATGGCCTCTTTTAAGAGAGTTTGGTAGTTTCTTATAAAACTAAGAATAATGTTACCATACAATTCAGCAATAATGATTCTTGATATTTACCCATAGGAGTTGAAAACTTATGTCCACCCTAAAACCCTGCACACAGACTGTTATAGCAGCATACTACACACAGTATTGGCCCCAGAATTACATTTAACATGGTAGTTCCAACACGGACTGTTCTTCACTCTATATCTATTCCTGAATTCAAAGCTCCACTCTGTATTCTGACTCTTTTTTCCAAGCAAGCACAGTGCTCATAGTGATTCAGGCTGAAATATGTTTTATTTAATTCTTTATTCATCAGAGACATGTATGGACAGAAAGACTAGGCCACAAATGAAGTAAGGGAAGGAATGAAGGATTGAGAAGACAGTCGATGTTGGTCTTCTTTTTTGTGAATGAGGCTCTCCAGTTAGTAGTACTCCTCAGGTTCACATTCTCTTATGCAGCAGAAAACTGTAGGTATTACACAATATACCATCCTAAATTCTTTTTCACCACACTTCTTTTTACATTGGCCACTTAGCTTTACACATATCTCTGAACGATTAAAAACAAAATGGTCCTCTTTACTTGAAGCTGAAAGAAAGCAAGAACAGATGGAATTAATAATCCAAGTTAAAAAATGCCAAGATTTCATAGAAGTCGCACAAAGAAATAGAGACCACAGAGGAAAGAAAATTCTTTTTTACTTTTTCTTTTTTTATAAATTTCTGTCCCTATCTATACCAAAGCAAATCAAGGAAACCAACCAGCATCCAATTCCTAAGCTAAATGTCTCACCCTTACACATTTAAGTTGATTAGGTAGTGAACCAATAAGAGATACCTGGAGAGCTGGCAATTTATTAATGCCCTCCTCTGTCTGTCTTGATCATCCCCTGGGGCCATTGAATAATGAGGGGGCCAAGCGCCATCTTCTCCTTTGTTATTCATAAACTTCGCCCTTTCCTCCTCCATAAGGTTTCACTGTTCATTGTATCCTGACTTCAGTTGCTCTAAAATACTGAAAACTACTGCATTCCTTCATTCACATATCTACAGTCTTCATTCACATATCTACAGTCTTGGATCTGCACCCCACTCTCACCTGAGGAGTTCTGCTTAAAAACAGATATTTTGGAAAATTAGCATAACGAATGGGAAATTAACAGGAGGGATGAACATTTCTGAAAGGCTCTTAATTTGTCTGTGCTACTCCTCCCTCCCCCGCTTTTTCCCTCTCTCACACTTAGGTTTCCAAAACAACAAAAACTTTAAAAAAATGTGTTTTTCTCAGTCTCACTTTGCATTGTAATTCCTTTGGTTTTGTAATGTCAACAATCATAAGGAATGACTTAGAGATTTAGAAATGAGGTGTTTTTGTCCCTAATGGAAGTTCTGAAATGTAAGAAGTGGTTTTTGTTTTGTGTTTTTTTTTTTTCATTTCCTGTATCCCCACAGAACAAAACTAGAAATAAATGGTGCAGATCAATGGAGAGCCAGGTTTTGGTTAAATATAATAAATGACTTTTTAACATGTAAAGATTTTATTGTAATCATGAAATATCTTGTCTTAGAAAGTATATATAGAGAGAAACCAAGATGGCGGCATAGGTTAACGCCGGAGATTGCTGCCTCGAACAACCACTTCAGAGATATAACTAAAGGACAGAACGGACATCATCCAGAACCACAGGAAGGCTGGCTGAGTGGAAATTCTACAACTAGGAGGAAAGAGAATATCATACCCAGACTCAGAGGAGGCGCAGTGCTGAAGTGAAATACTCAGGTGCGGAGTGCGCACGCGGAGCGGGCTGGCAGTGGAGGGTGTGGTTGTTGTTTTCAATCGGGAGGGAGTTTCAGACTCTGAGCTCCAGATCCGGGTGAGTCTCTGGGGACCCAGACTCAAATGGGAGAAGCGGGACTGTCTGGCTTCGGTCGGAACTCGAAGGCAGCTTTCTCTCCAAGGTTTGCAGCAGTTGCTGGGACTCTGAGAGGCAGAGCCCCTAGGGATGGAACTGAGAGCCGCCATAACTGCTTGCTCCGGCCTGCCCTGTAGATCCCCGAGGACCCGCCCCGCCCAAGCCCTGCGCAGAGCCATTTGGCAGATAGCCTCAGGCAAAGGCTAGATTAGCACCACCCTAGAGATCCAGCACAGAAGCTCTCCCACTGCAGACACAGCTGACTCTCATAGCCAGTTAGCCTGGAGGTCAAATCACCCCTGGTATTACTGACAACAATCAAGGCTTAACTACAAGACTGCACACAAAGACCACTAGGGGGTGCACCAAGAAAAGATATAAAAATGCGGAGACAAAGAAACAGGACGCAAATGTCAGAAATGGAAGATATAGAGCTCAAAACCACACTTTTAAGGTCTCTCAAGAACTGTCTAGAAGCTGCCAATAAACTTAGTAAGGCCCTCGACTGAAATAAAGAATATTATACAGACACCCAACAGCAGACCAGAGGAGCGCAAGAATCAAGTCAAAGATTCAAAACACAAAGTAGCAAAAAACACCCAACTGGAAAAGCAAAATGAAAAAAGAATCCGAAAATACGAAGATAGTGTAAAGAGCCTCTGGGACAGCTTCAAGCGTACCAACATCAGAATTATAGGGGTGCCAGAAGATGAGAGAGAGCAAGATATTGAAAACCTATTTGAAGAAATAATGACAGAAAACTTCCCCCACCTGGTGAAAGAAATAGACTTACAGGTCCAGGAAGCGCAGAGAACCCCAAACAAAAGGAATCCAAAGAGGACCACACCAAGACACATCATAATTAAAATGCCACGAGCAAAAGACAAAGAGAAAATCCTAAAAGCAGCAAGAGAAATAAAGTCAGTTACCTACAAGGGAATACCCATACGACTGTCAGCTGATTTCTCAACAGAAACTTTGCAGGCCAGAAGGGAATGGCAAGAAATATTCAAAGTGATGAATACCAAGAACCTACAACCAAGATTACTTTATCCAGCAAAGCTATCATTCAGAACGGAAGGTCAGATAAAGAGCTTCACAGATAAGGAAAAGCTAAAGGAGTTCATCACCACCAAGCCAGTATTATATGAAATGCTGAAAGGTATCCTTTAAGAAGAGGAAGAAGAAGAAAAAGGTAATGATACAAATTATGAACAACAAATATGCATCTATCAACAAGTGAATCCAAGAATCAAGTGAATAAATAATCTGGTGATCATAATAGAATCAGGGGCATAGAAAGGGAGTGGACTGACTATTCTTGGGGGGGAAAGGGGTGTGGGAGATGCGGGAAGAGACTGGGCAAAAATCGTGCACCTATGGAGGAGGACAGTGGGTGGGGAGTGAGGGCGGAGGGTGGGGCAGGAACTGGGAGGAGGGGAGTTATGGGGGGAAAAAAAAGAGGAACAAATGTAATAATCTGAACAATAAAGAGTTAATTAAAATAAAAAAAAGAAAGTATATATCTGCCATCCAGGGCCAATATAATCAGGCCCTACTAGACATATTTTAAAAGGTGAGCCAGAGTGGATGAGCCATTGTCAATGATGCCTATCAGCATGCTTTCATCCCACATACCTTTTCATTTTATTTTGAAATTAAATTTATTTAACTCTGTAATTAATCAACCCCTTTACTAAAAATATTTTAGTACAATATTTTTACAGAGGGCTTTTATATACATATCACTTAAAATAAAGGAGTAATATTACTGATACATTTTGCAGCAAGCATTTTAGGCAAGGAAGATTTTGAGACAACGCTATCCCTCAGTATCCTATCCTATATAATAAAAGGCTAATATGCAAATTGTCCCCTTGACTGGGAGTTCGACTTGGGGGTGGGGCTGGCTGGCCAACTGTTGCGGCCCCTCCTGCCAACCAGCCCTGCCCCTGATAGCCCCCACCCCCATCCCAATCAGGGGTGGGGCTGGCCAGCCAATGGCCCAAAGCCCTTCCCCTGGCTGGCTTGGCCTGATTGGCTCCGATAGGGGCAGGCCGGCCAGACCCCATCCATGTATGAATTTATGCACCGGGCCTCTAGTTCTTTAATAATATGCTGAATTTGCAGATCAGTTTTGGAACTAGCACTCTAAATGGCCCTGTTTGGCTGGCAATTGCACATTATTTGTAACTAAAAATAAAGATAGTATAAACCCAATATTTACTCTCAGATGAGGAAGGTATGTCTCATAATCCAAACAACCTCAGCATAGGCCTAAACACAGAGCAACATATTACACAGAGCATTCTGAGAAAAGAACAATTTTGCCCAAACTCTTGCATTCTTTTCTTTCTAAAAATATTTTCTTGTATTATAATAAAAACCACAAAATATAAATTCAAAGCTTAATGTATTAATATGTATCAAATATCTATGTAATACCTTTGTCTTCATCTTATTTTTTTCTTTTTGCTCTCTAAATGTGTGTAATCCTCAAGACTCTTTCTTTAGTTCTCCTCTTTCCCCCATCCATGCATCTATTTATTCATTCACTCATTGATTCATTACATAAATCTTTATTGAGTACCTACTGTACAGCAAGCACTGTTGTAACCACATTTTAGCATTGATATAGTGGCAAAACAAAGCAAAGCAAAACTAAAGAAAACATGTGGTCCCTATGTATATTAACTTGACCAAAGCCTCATCACTCAGTCTTTTTATTAACACTATCACAAAGTAACTCTTTCTTTACCCTCCCACAGAAATTTACTTATATCACTCACAAGGAGTTTATAAGATGCTAACTTAAGAAGACATTTTGCTAAATGGAATGTCAAATCATGATTGAGATAAAGACTAAAACAGAGAAGAGTTCCTTTTTAAATCATTCCCCAACACCCAGTCTAGACTTTTGTTGCTCAATTGCCTCTTCAAGTTATCTTAATTACACCATCTTTGGAATTAATAAGGATACTTTAATTACTTTTTGTATATAACAACTAGAGGCCTGGTGCACGGGATTTGTGCACTGGTGGGGGGGCGTGGCCTGTGGGGGATCGGCTCACTGTTGGAGTGCTGATCATCACAGTCAGCCGAGTGGCCGTTTACCCGCCCTTTGAGTGGCTGCTCCTCGGTCTGGCATTTTCCATGGAGCCGGAGCACTTGCCTCTTCAGGGGACCCGGCTGGGACTGGGCCCCAGGACAATAGCACTGAGAGGTGGCAGAGTAAGCTTCAGTCCTGCTGGGACCACAACCCACCTCCTAGCCTCCATGGTCAGCTCTGTGAACCCAGAAGTGGCACTGCACAGCCTGTGGGCATCCAGAAGAGGCAGCAAGGAGCCAGGAGGAGGAGTCTGGGTTGAGGAGGCAACAATTGCAGCCCAACCATGGCCCGGGGTTCACGGTGGAGCAGCTGTTCATCCCAGTCAGCCAAGCGGCGCTCCAACTGTGGTAGTGTACTGACCACCAGGGGGAAGCTTATGCATTGAGCATCTTCCTTCTGGTGGTGAGTGAGCATCATAGCAACTGGTTGACCAGTCATTCTAGCCGTTCTGCCATTTGGTCACTGGGCTTTTATTATTTAGAACTAGAGGCCTGGTGCACGAAAATTCATGCACTCAGGGAGATCCCTCAGCCTGGCCTGCACCTCCTCACAATCCGGGACCCCTTGTGTAGGGTCCCTAGGCCTGGCCTGATATCAGGGCCTATTGGGGCTTTCCTTCCCCTGGCTGCAGACAGCTGGCCCCACCCCTGCCACTGCCACTGTTTGCCTTCTGTGCAGCGCTGACCCCTCCTCCCCCTCCTCTGCCACTGATGGCCTCCCTCTGCAGGAGACAGTTGTAGGGTATGATGGCTTGGCTGGCCTGGGCCTCCCTCTGCGGGGCGATCTCTGGCTGGCTGCACACCTGCCACAGAGTCACCACTGGTAGCCTGGGCCTCTCTCTTTCTTTGTTGCGGGGCGGGGCCAGCCCTTCGAGGGGTTGTCTGCCTACCTGATCACCCCTAACCACTCTTCCTACCTTCCTGATCACCCCTAATCACTTGCTTGGGGGTGGGGCCAGCCCTGCGAGGGGCCATCTGCCTACCTGATCGCCCCTACCACTTGCCTGCCTGCCTGATCTCCCCTAACCACTGGTCTGCCTGCCTGATAATCCCTAACCACTCTACCTGCCTGCCTGATCTCCCCTAACCGCTTGTGTGGCGGGAGGTGGGGGGGGAAGCCCGGTGAGGGGCCGTGGTGGTTCTGGTCTCTGGTTGTTCTGGTTGTTATGCTTATGGTGGCTGGCCTTTTATTATATAGGACATATTTTTATGTTTCCAAAAATATCAAGATTATGGACAATGGACTGTGGTGATTGACAAAAGAAATTACGAGGAAAACTGAGACAGCAGTCTGAATCCTAAGCATAATGGCACTAGCAACATTAAAAATCAAACAAACAAACAAAAAAACAATGCTGAGAGCAATGATTGGAGAATGTTTCCTCAGAAATAGGAAGGACATTTGTCTAGACAGTGTTTCATAAAAAATGAGACTCTATGACTTTAAAATAAAACTTCTTTCTCATTTTGAACATAAAATCTGCATTCATAAAACTGGAAGGTGAAAGACAAGAGCTAAATACCTAGGGGCTGGGACAAAGAACATATTTAGAATATTTCCTTCCTTGCATTTGACAGTTAATAATTAAATGTGCAAGATAGAATTATACTTGTTTTATTTTACCTGTGTTTATTTTACCTGCATGATTTTGTGCCTTTTCAAATATTGTGGGAGGATTACGTATCTCTGAGTATAATTTCTCAAACTTCCTTCTACATGTTACTGCTCCTGGCATAGAATTGCTAACAGGTTGGCCAGAGCCCACTGCAAAAGAAAAAGGTTACTTCAAAAGTATAAGAAAAATGTTTTTGAAATAAGGACAGTAATATTTTTGCCTTTACTTCATAATACTATAAACTGTAAGAGGTTTTAGAAAATAATACAAATACAGCATATATTTCTTTAAAGTGGGGTTGGATATGTAAATGAACATCTTGATTATTAATAAGATGACCGCACACTGCTTCTGTAAAGAAGGAATAATGAATTAATGTGGGCAAAAGGCAGAATCGATGCTAGCTATTAAAGTCACCATTAAGAAAAAAAAGCATCATCCCTTATTGAAATCTAGGTAAATCTACATAATGTATCAGAAAACTTCTAGAAATAGATGAAATTTTAATGAGCATGTTTCAATTAATTTGTATGAAGATGATGAAGAAAAAAATTACTTATTTAACTTAATTCCAACTCCTTGAGTTACAAGAGTTACATTATCAATTGAAGTTCATTCATGTGTCCTCTTTTGGTGAGAAATTGTCAGCTAAAAGCTATTTATGTTTGAATATCATTAGAGCAGAGTAGAAGTGAAAGAATGGGATACAATACATTTATTTCATGTTAATCTGCTTTGAACTCAGTAATGACAGATATCGTGGTGATTCAGGGAAAGCAGCGAGAAAAAGAATTTAACCGAAAGTGAGTAGATGCATGGTTAGTCTTAGTTATGAATGTAATAAAATTACTCTCAGCAAGCCATTTAACCTCACTTAATCTCTGTCATCAAATTTATCTGAGCATAAATTATTCCACTCCCATTTAAAAGATTATTAGTATATTAAATAGGAAGAATTTGAATATTTAATAAACACACATTTCAGAGATTGAGTATACCACTGTAGCACTATTCCAACAATTTACATATATATATATAGATATATGTATAATCTTATGTAATCAAAGTTAATTATGGGTTTTATTAGTGCATTGCCCCTGAAAATATATTCAAGTATTTTTTCCATCTAGGGGCTGTATATAAATATAATGTGGTCTTGCTGATGGTATTAATACAATGTTTGTATAATGTTAATAATAGTCACTTTAACACTTCCAACCTCCCTTTCCCCCTTTCGTGCTGAACCCACGGGCAATAATATTCATGTTACCTGATAGAATGAAGACACCAAAGAAGAACAAAATAAAGGAAAAGAGAAGAATCTTCATTATTAATGATTTCTGAGGAGAAAAAAAGTCCACAGACCTTCTATTTTCATTCAGTTGTTGTTAAAATAAGGAAGAAAAATAATCATTTCATTTATAGACTTTTTTGCAGTCTTGATTACTGAGGCTTAGTAAAAGTAAAAACTTTTACTTGCTTGGATGAATAGTGCCCTGTTGGAAGAGATAGTATCTAGAAAAAGCTGGTATATTGTCCTAGAAAAATGTCATCTGCTAACTCCTCTTGAGGTCAGTTAAGAAACTTTAACAGTTACAATATTATGGATATAAATTGCTGAGTGACCAAGTTAAAAATAATTTTGTAGCAATTCACACAATATTCAGGAGAAATATGTTTAAATAATCACATTTAATATTTTAATGTCCCTAATGTGAAAAATGAATCTTAATGTAATGAGAAATCCAAAATGGAAATTTAGACAGAAATTGCCATTGAGAATATTTAATTTTACACACAAACTATTGAGATTCAGAGTGGTTAAGTGGTTTCATAATACACATCACTTTTATTTAAAATGTATATGAAAAAAATAATGACTGCATACTGATGTGTTTGAAAATTACCTTATATAACTTATTTATAGGGTGTAGTCACTCAAGTAGGATTCATAAATGTCAATATGCAAATATCCTATGTTATGACATAGATTGCCTTTTTCTTCTTTTCTGTGTAGTTTGGAATTATTTTTTACCCCATTTGCAAGTTTTCCAAAATCCATTATAGTAGATACTGGAGAAAAGCAACTGAAATTGTTCTCCAGACCCCATGAGCAGATGTTAGGAACTAAAGTCCATTGATTCTCTCTTACTACACCCAGAGAAGGCACTAACGTCAGGATGGCCAAGTGGTCTAAGGCCAAAGAAGGCACTAAGCATCTGGATATAAGAGTCCCAGTGAACATTAATTGTCCTTATTCTACAGAAACAGAGGTTGTTGGCCATGACAACATGTATCAATATTCAGAATCTTGGCAAGGCTTCCTGAACAAAGCAATGAAGGGATATGTCCAAGAATTATTTCTTTCTACAACCAATTTCTACACTCTATAAAATGTTAATTAAAAATTTTAAAACCTTCTATTTAGAACTTAGAACATGACTGAGAATTTTACCATCATCTGACATATGTCAAACCATTTAAGTCAATCTCCATTTAAGATTAACTCAACAGAAATTAAACAGCTACCATGTGCCTATTGCAGCTCTAGTTGCTGTAGTATAACTATGAAGAAGATAGGATATCTCATTGTTGTGGGTAAAAATAAGTGCTAAAAAAAAGAGAGGGAAAAAAAGTATTAGTTGAGTAACTGGAATTAAATTTCAAGTTCTATTAAAAACAATTTACTGGAATTTAACTGAAAGTGAGTAGGAATTCTTTTATGAGAATTCCTCTTTGATTTTCTATTCTATTCTTCCCCAATGATTTGACAAAGGTGAAATAACATTATTTTCCTCCAAAGACTGAAGCTAAATAGAACTGTATTTTGGATATTGTCTTTATTAAATCTGAAGGAAAAAAAAAAAACACAGCAACATAAAACATTACTGCCAATTCACTTAGAATACTTTTTGACCCAGGCCTCATGGAGGACAAGGGAATCACTCTCTTTTTTGAACAGGTAAGCATCATCTCAATCATTTGCTCTGGTTGTCCAACATGATAAACACATTCTACAGGATCTATATCACATAGAAACACTAGACTACTCCTTTAAACATTTTTGTATTATTTAAATTATATTTTGTTTATAGATATAAAGAATTTTAAATCATAGATAACTGAATAATTTAGGAATGCTTGGATTTGTTCATCACTATTCTATGATTAACTCATAGCCATTTTAGATATAGATAGTAGTAGTGAAACAGATAAAAATACCTTGTCAATGTTCTGAGAAACAAGTTATTTTTGAAAAGACAAGAAAAGAAATACATGACAATTCAGTAGTATAAATGCCATCTATGTTGTATGAAAATAGTTTCTTATGTGTCTTCTGAGTGTAATATTTTCCCTCCTATAGAGCAAAGTTCAACATTGGAGACTGAATATTACAATGTTTCTGGACTAGGGATTTTTTTGGATGTAATAAGAAAAACATAGACTATGGAAATTAAAGCAGAAATGAATACAACAAGTACATTAAATATTTTATCCTACTTCATTCTCTTCACTTCTCAATTATCCTTATTCAGTTATAGAGAAGCAAATTATTAACACAATTAGTGGTTTGGGACCTACAATATTTAAGTTTATCAACAACCATGTGATCTTAGGTAATGAAAATGCACAACATTTATTTGTCCTCTGCTTGTCAAGAAACAAAGAAAATGCTTCCCTTTGGACTGCTGAGACCATCCTCTTCAGAAGCAGAGTCTCTCCAATTGTTTGCCTTTATTCCTAAGAAATTATATTATTATTTTTAATCACCATAAAAATATTTTTTTTTATTTTTTTAAACGCTTTAGGGAAAAGAAGTGAGAGGAAAATAAAAAATCCAGTTTAAGAAATCAAATCTAAAAAAATAACTATGTGAAGAGAGATGAAGAATTACAAAATTAACAAGTTGTTTCTTGTTGAACTGAGGGGCCCAAACTGTTCCATTCTCTCTATTCAACATCAAGGGACACCATCAATGAGAAAATCTGCTGCCACTCTATATGTATTTATTTGGCAGAAAAAAATGAAAAGGGTAAACTATACCCATCCACCTTTCTATCACATTTTTCCTTGCAACCATCAACTGTAGTTCTTTCATCCGCAGTACCAAGAATTTGGTATACACTTCTGATTTAGAGTTAATATTTCATATGTTCAAAAGTGCATAAGAAATTAGTACAAGGATTGAGGAAGCAGTGTTTACAGACAATGAAGTGAAGATAAAATATTATTTGCTCTACTATTTTTTCAATCATTTTACCTTAAAGCGTAAAAAACAGATTTAATTTAATCCTTATTTGTTTCTTTATGTAGTAGCTATTTTTATATGATCAGAACTCTTTACTTAAAAGATTTAAAATTCAGTAGATCTTCTCTTGATCAAGATGGAAATAATCTTCCCCTCACTATGCCTGAATTTCAGATGGGTTTCTTTCTGACAATAGGCCCCTAATATTACTGAAATATAATAAACTAGTAGCCCGGTGCACAAAAATTTGTGCACTAGGGGGTGAGCTTGAGGGGTGGGGCCAGACCCCTCAGCCTGACCTGTACCCTCTGTCATATTCCTGAACCCCCGCCACTCCTGGCCTAGGCACAGGCCTACAGGTTTGGGGCGGCCTGGCTCCCGAGGCACCATTTTATCAATAGAACAAAGTTGGCGTTAGTTACAGCCCTCACAGAACCCAGTACACTGCATCTGTACATACAACTGCCTTGTTTATGTCCCTGCTTCACCCTACTGAATTACCAACATCTTGAGGACATAGCTCTGTCTTACCCTGCTTCGCCTTCAGTGCCTGGCCTGGTGCCAGGGACCTGAGAGGGTTTGCTGAGTGAGTGAATAATGAGTGAGTGAATGAGTGAATGAATGAACGAGTAAGTGAATGAGCAAGCAGCTAAGGGGTGGGAACTTCTGCTGCGTTGCCATGGCAACATGGCAGAAGTTTCGGCCCCACTCCCGGCTGCCTGAAGCCCACTCGGAAAGTTCCCGCCCTGCTCCCAGAGGTCTGGCGCCCCTCTCCTGGTTAAATACTGAATTAGTAACATCTTGAGGTCATAGCTGTCTTATCCTGCTTCACCTTCAGTGCCTGGCCTGGTGCCAGGGACCTGAGAGGGTTTGCTGAGCGAGTGACTGAATGAGTAAGTAAGTGAATGAGCAAGCAGCTACCGGTTGGGATAGTTCGCATTCTGCTCTGGGCTGCCTGACACAAACCCTGGGCAGTTCCCAACCTGCTCCCAGCGGCCCCATTCCCCTCTCCCAGCTGCATAGCATGCGCAGGGCAAAGGCGGCCTGGGTGTGCATGTTGGCAGATTGGTGCATTAGCACCCGCTGCCGGGGTCCAACCCCAGCAGGTCCAGGGGTCCCCAAAGGTGTGGACGGAGTCGGCGAAGAAGGAATGACACGGAGACAGTGTTCAGTTGATCAGCAGCCTAGCCAGGATCTCCAGCCAGGATCTCCAGCCAAGTTCTGGTCTGGATCTCCAGAGAGGTTCTGCTTAGGATCTCCAGCCAGGTTCTGTGTCCAAGTTCTCTTGCTAGGTTCTCCAGCCAGGTTCCCCAGGTTCCCCAGCCAAGTTCGGTCACCAGATTCTGTAGCCAGGTTCTGGCTAGGTTCTCCAACCAAGTTCTGTAGCCAGGTCCTGTCCAGGATCTTTTGCCAGGTTCAGTCACCAGGTTCTAGTCAGGTTCTCTTGCCATGTTCTATCCAGGTTCTGTCTCTAGGTTCTTCAGCCAGGTTCTCTCGCTAGGTTCTGTCTCTAGGTTCTGTTGCCAGTTTCTGTCCAGGATCTTTTGCCATGTTCTCTCCAGCAAAGTCCTTCTGTCTCTAGGTTCTGTGTAGGTTCTGTGTCTAGGTTCGGTATCCAGTTTCTGTCCAGGATCTTTGGCCATGTTCTCTCCAGCGAAGTTCTTCTGTCTCTAGGTTCTGTGTAGGTTCTGTGTCTAGGTTCTGTGTGTAGGTTCTGTGTGTAGGTTCTGTGTTCTAAGTTCTGTGTTCTAAGTTCTGTGTCTAGGTTCTGTTCTCTTGGTTCTGTCTTCTAAGTTCTGTCTTCTAAGTTCTGTGTTGTTACATCTGTATTTATACCAGTTGATTCCAATCTTATCAACCTCTATTCCAAATGTTAGGGCGTTTCTTATCTCCATTCCAGGGAGTAAAGATTATGTAGCTTAAGCATGATTGTTCGTAGTTAAAGTGATTAATTACCCGCCTGGCACTTAGTTAAGAGGTTTTATTCCCTCCCTAACTTCAGGGGAAAATCCCTACCTGGGGAAACAACCTTTCTCAGAGACCTTGGTTAATACACATAGTGCCAAGAAGGTGAGCAAA